GGTCCATCACATTGTCGGCAGAACACATGAGTGACTATACTTGGACAAACGATCCACACTTCCACAGTTACCCATATCACACATTTTCCACCTATGATCAATACGGATGTCATGAAATTAAATGATATGTCCTCCCAAACCTGTGCGGGGATGGGGAGCGGCTGCAACAAACCCTTTGGATGAAAACTTTCTAGATTAATTGTTGGGATGCTGAGTAGTGTTTGTATCATGTTGCACCTTCTTGTGCATCCCTTGCCGGTAAAAAGAGGTAGCAAGCCTGGTGTATATTATTTTAGTACCTCGGTTAGCAGCTCTGCCAAGGTTGCATATCCACATACAAATCAGCAGTAGTAGCCTGTGAGGCCAAGAAAACCACGTACCACAGCTACCCCTTCAGCTGATACAAAAATGGCCCAAATACTCAAGTTTTTCTTTTTTTCAAAGCTAAATTTGTTCTGCATGGCGAAGAAATGATGTTGATGAAGTATGGTGAGAACAATACGCAAATGGTGAAGGTGATATGTAAGAGAGAAACTGAACACAAGGATATCATTTAAAAACCAACACAAACCTCCGCAAAAATGGTTTAAAGAACACGTTCATGGTGGCTTGAAATGTCGCAAGTGTGTTAGTCAAACCAAACGGCGTTACCAAGAATGCGTGATGACCTTCATGGGTTCTAAAAGCCGTTTCAAAACATCTAGAGGGTTGACCTGAATCTGATGATAACCCATAGTGCAGATCAAGCTTCGAAAATATTACTGCGCCATGTAACTCTTCCAGGTTCCGTCTTTTTGCGGACCAGCAAAATGGGTGATGAAAATGGCCTAGTAGATGGTTTATCGTATAATGTCATCCTTAAAGTCTTAAGCATCTCTTAGGCAAGTCTTTCGATTTCATTTTTTGAAAGTGAGGGTAGCGGTATGGCTTCACATTTACTAAAGTGGAATGAGGGAGAATGTTAATTTTATAGTTGAACAGGCAGTTAGGGAGAAGCATGTGGGGAAGGCTAAATACATCAGAATTCTTGTAGGATTTCGTCTATAGCAAGTGGGGTTGGTGTGTTAGTAGGGCATATTTCAGAGGCATTAGGTAACTTGGACTAGTGTAAGAGTAAAAAGCTTTGGGTTATGGACTTATGGTTCCTTTACGATGTAATCTCATTAGTTGTCATTAGTTCCTTTACGACAGTAAACAGCGGTAGCACCAGGGGTGGGAATTCCCACGACTTTTACATGTTTCCCATTATATTCAAATTCCATGTTCATCCACTAGTGATCAATGAGTATTTTCCAAGGCCTTCCAACATCTGAGTTGCCAAAATGACATCCGCTCCACAGTCCACTGAACTTTAATAAATGGAAGTTTGCCTCACACTTGGCTCCCTGCATAGTGAAAGCTTCATTTGCACACGTTCCTTCACTTTAAATTCGTTCACCGTTGCCAACAGCAACCTGAAAGCAGGTTGATTTATCTGCCAGAAGGTGTAAATGGTTCGCTAGGCTGGAGATATGTGGGAGCTCCTCACTGTTAATTATCGACCCTTGGTGATTGCCGTTAAGCAACACGTACAGGGTCCTTGGATGCATTCTAATACATGGAACAATAATTCTCAGGGTCAGACCTGTCAAAGTTCCCTCTGTCTCTACCTTTGCAACTTTGACAGAGCTCTGTTTATGCTCTTCTTTGCGAGCTGGTTCATCCGCTAACAGCAGTAAAAAAGGCTTGGTTTTACATAGATTTCTAGGATGATACCTCTCATCGCAATTATAGCAAAGTCCTTGGGCATGACGGCTTTGCAACACTGCAGCAGTTAACTTTCTAATGCGCAGAGAAGTTTTTATCTGGGATCTGAGCTGGGAGTGCTGGGAGGGGTAACAAGGTAATTTGGTTGATCATACAGGCTGAAGTGGGGCTGATGTTCTGGCTAGCAGGTGTTTTCCCGGAGCTGGGCTTAAAGCTGAAAGATTTGGAATCTTGTTGTTTACCTTTTATTAATTTGGCCTTGGCAATAGTTTCAAGGAGGATAGCTAACTCGCTCTGAATGAAGGATTTCGACCCAGAGATAAAACAATCTATTATTGCATCTAGATGAAGTTGGGTTACCCGGTTGCATCTAGATAAGTCTCAACCGTCATTATCTCCGTAAGCTTAAAGAGTGTCACACAATGTTTCACATATGTTGACGGGCCGAACCTCTGTTCCATGGCGATGGTTGAAGCCCTCCAAGATGACATTTAACTGTTTTTGTGCATCCATTGACAACACGATAGTGCGTAACCAACCATGTAAAAACTAATAATGTCAATTGGTTGTTCTACAATTTCCCAAAAATCAAAGTATTTTTCTGCTTGGAATAGCCAATCCAAGACATTAGCCCCGCCAAATATAGATATATCACACCTCATCGATCGTGGTTGTTGGTTATTATATGGTGGCGTCTGATTTGAACGTGTCATTGGCGAGGAAGAGGGGGGGATGGTGGCGGATGTTGCTGTGGAATTATTGACTCAGTTTGACAAGTCAGTTATTCCTGCCGTAAGGACCCGGTTTTGTGCAACCAAGGCTTGACGCAGCTCATACGCAGATTTCTGGTTGCTCTCACGCATTTGTTGCACCTGTTTTTCAAGGACTCAGTAGCGGGTTTGAATTCCTTCATTATCAATGGCTGTTCTCTCAATGAAAGCATCAAACTGTTAAGGATTTGGTACTATGTTTCATTATTCTACTACGTGAGGGTGAAAGCCTCCGGAAAGAATGTTTTCAAAGGGTAGGGAAAATGAGATTTAAGACTTACGAGGGAGTTCAGAATAAGGGTCTTGCCCTCTTTCCCTTGATTGATCAACAAATGAATAGAAATGACTACCTCCTACATATTAGGGTCACACAATCCCATTACTGCAGTAGTCATTACATGAACTCCGCTAATTGCACACATAATCACGTCATTTGGGAGGACTGTGGTTTTCCTCTTCTCACGGGTAACTGCCAGTGAGTTGCCACTCTTTTATGTGTACAGAGTAACACAGAGTATATTAACATTTGATTTTGAAGAAATATACACTCATGTTGTTCTCATTAAACATGCATATATGCATGTTAGAATGTATGCACAATTAATGTTTTTTGACAGTTAAAAATATATATACTAAAATCATATGCCTCGCAAGTTTTTCACAATGAAATATTTGACGGCAAAAACGATTCAAATCCGATTCTTCACGAAGTAACAGAACAACTTTATTGAAATGGGGACATTTCTACGTAGACGTGTGATAGGAAATATACATTGCCGACAGTGAATTGAGAAAAAAGTTTACAAAGAATAATACCTTCAGCTGCTTTGAGCCAAGACGCCATGGAGAAAACAACAGCTAAATAAGCAGATCCCTAAAAATTACTAAGCACAGAATGAGGACAGAGAAAAACAATTCCTGCAGCTGAACTTCAAATTTTCAGAGATCGTTGTTTGTCCGGAAAGAAATTGAACCGGATATGATCGAAATATATACAAAATAATCAATTTCCAGGAGTGCAGAGATCGATCAAGATAATGGTTTTCTTCATATCGCATGTAGTTTTGCTGTTAGTTTTTTTTTTTACAGAAGGTCTCTATTGTTAGCTAGCAACTGAGAAAATGGAAAAGGAGAGAAAAACGTACTGATTACAGATAGAAATTAATTTATTTTAGTAATGTTTATAAACATGATTTTTTTTATCGTTGTATAAACATGATTATAATATAAAAATTAAAACATGATATACCTCTTTACGTTTTCACAATTGCAAAAAGACTAAAAAAAATTGAAATTGAAAAATAAAAAAAATTAACTAGTTAAAATAAAGATTTATATATATCTTAAAATATTAACTCTTTAATTTTAAAGTGCAAATTTTTATTTCTCCGTTATAAATGAAAAACTTCACATTCGTACATATTCATTTTAGTCTTTCTGCGAAGGTTACAACGTCAAATAAGTTCTCAAATTAACCTAAAAAGTGCAATTCACTTCTTATTTAGGAGACTTTGTCCGGCCGTCGACAATTGGGGGCGGATCCCGGTGTAATTTTTTGGTGAAATTTTTTGAGATTCTTTTTCATTAAGTCTAGTTTACTCATACCAAATTTCAGATAAAAATCAACTGAGAAGACAGTATTTGGGATTTTCTAAAATGTACTGCGATTAAATTTACTATTTGTAACCTTGCACTATTTGGGATTATCATCTTATTTTATTCCAAATTATCATCAAATTCAAAAATCTATCTCATTCTTTGACTTTTATCAAAAATAGACCCAAACTTAATTGTTTAACAATTTTGTTTTTCTGTTTTGTATTTTTAAAATTACTCATTTTTATCAATGCCAAATTGCCAATAATATACAAGCAATACAAGCTTGTAAACATAAAACTAGAAAGAAATGAAAAATATGAAATATTAATATGATTTTCTTCTTATGTTTTACCAATTCATCCATTGAAAGTGTAATTATGAGAAAAGTGATAGTATGAGATATATTTGTGAAGTTGCTGGTAGTTAGGGACATATTTAGCTAATAATTCAACTATCTATCATGGTATCATCATACAAAATATGTACTTTTATGGTACAAAATATGGGTCATCCGGAAACAGTCTCTCTGTGCTTTAGTACAGGGGTAAGGCCACGTACATCCGACCTCCTTACCCCACCATAGGTGGAAGCCTTTGCGGCACTGAGATAATGACGATGAATGATGAATGATGATCATAAAAGAGCGGTCGTTATACTAAAATCGAGAACACATACATGACAACATCCAGACAAAATTTACAGTTCCAATCACGAACCCTAGAAGATACTTAGAGTCAGACACCTCATACAAAACAACATGATTAGTTAAATCTAAAACAAGCAAGTTTAAGCCTAAAATGACCGGAATAGTATCAATATTCTAATGGAACCAAATATCAATGCTAGTAGCCGGGTAGGTCATCAGTCGCGCCCACCCATGTGGTTGCAAAAGTCAAAACCAGCACTTCAAAAACCAAATGTAACGGCTAGCCATCGACTACTCCAATTTGTTTCCCTAAAAACTTTCCTGACGACACCCAAAGTCCAGTTCCTCTTCCACCATCTCTCTGAAATCGGAAACCTCAATTAGTTCTTGTTATCTTCCGTGGCTTTGGGATTCTTCAGGATACGCAGTCAATTTTCTGGGGTCTTCAATATTATGGAGATTTCGCCAGAAACGGACCATTACATTCGAGAATCTATAGAGCATTCCCTGGGTCTCCCAGTGTCGACCCAAACTCTTCAATCGAAGCTCCAAGCCTCCCAACAATCACTCACCCTGCTCCGCAATCAGTGCATTTCGTTGCAATCCAAACTCAAAGAAAAAGATTGCATCATTGAACGCGCTAGGGTTTGAACATTCTCCGCCTATTTGTACACTTTGACTTTTTATGAGATTTCTTTTATTCAGTGCTGAAGATTGTTGTTTTTCTAGGCCGAGGCGAGTTTGAATGCGGTAGGGCTGAAGAAGTTCGTGGAGGAGAATCAGAAACTGGCTATAGAGTGCTCGAATTTGTTGGAACAGTGCAAGAGATGGGAGAGGGAGTGCTCGTTATATGATTGTGATCGGGAGGCTTTGATGGATTTTGGGAATGAGGCGGACCAGAGAGCCAAGGACGCAGAGTTACGTGTGAAGGAGTTAGAGAAGGAGGTAGAGAAGTTGGAGGAGGAATTGCAGTTCTACAAGTTGGAATCCCAACTGGTTAGTAATGACATTTGTGATTTGATGATGAATAGATGATTTCTGCTTTTAGGACACGTAAAGGAAATTTAGTCAATGACCAACAGTTGTGAAAAATATCAATCTCTATGCTACCAATTACTCTGTATAAAGCATCGAATTTAATAATCAATATCACTGTAAGGTATACTTTAAAAGCATTACCTTCCAGTTCTGCTTGACGATTAGTAGGGTCGGGGTATTAGCCATGGTTGAGAAATTGATTTTAGCAGCCCATCATTGGAAATATTAAGAAGGATATGATAGCAGCCTAGCAGGAAATAATCAATTCAAAGATTCTACGCACAAGGATAAAAAATATAGTTGAATGAATTTGCCGTAAGATTTGTAATCAGCAAGTAGTCTCAAACAGATGATAAAATAAAAGGAATGTAAAATGATCGAATGGAAAGAGAGATGGGCTGAGCTATCACAAATTATCGAAGTATTGAAGGGAATTTTATTCCAGTGAAGTTGTGAGAATTCTTTTGAGTGAGGTGTTCCATCATTTCCATGTTCCTTGTGGAGAAATACATAATGGGAGCCCATGTACCCACAGAGGGTATATAAAATACCAATGGCACATTACACCGACCCTAGTTAGTTAAATATGGTACGGGAATCAACCGAGGTTTAATACGTACACGTTTTATTCGGTAACATGAATGAAAAACAGGTCAAAAATACGTCGGAACAACGTTGAATTTTAAAAAGCGTGTAAATATGTATAAGTGTATAATACGGTATCTGTTACAAAAATTCGAACAAAAAATATTATTTTAAACATTTAAGTTATATACTTCACAAAATAACATACTACCTCCGTCTCAAAATAATTAGCTAAATCCAAAACTTTGACCAATAATATATATTTATTGGAAATTATTTATAATATCAAAATGATATGAAAATGTTCTTTGTTAAAAGTGCTTTCATAAAAGTATAAAATTTAGAACTTTCATAATATTATACTAATCAAATTCATGATCCAAATTTTAAGATTTGGCTAAACATTTTGGGGCGGAGGTAGTATATGGTAAAAAGAAATAAAAGTATACACATATTCAAGAAGGAAATCACATTACTACATAAAAGAATAATTCGTAATAGACTAATTGCATAAGTCGATGATAAAAATACCCGTACTAATTAAGTCCAAGACATAATTTTGCAAAAATAAAAAAAATATGGTATAATAACAATAGAATGAGACTAAGTTAAAATCATTATCTTTATATGATCATCAAATAACACTCAAGTTAAACTCATCATTTTCATCAATACGACGGATGACATATGAGAAAGTTAAGCGATTGCTACACTTATTATTGTAAAAGTTTATTTTAAAAAATGTGAGGTTTAGAAAAACCTTAATTTTAATATGCTTTTTTGAAAAACCATCATAAATCTAGTTATATTTTAAGTTTTAGTCATTTAGTATGCTAGCTCTAGTCGCCATACAATTAATTTTAATATTTAATAATTGTATTGCAACAATACAAAAACATGGGGTCACAAGGAGGAGGTTTTCTTTTTTTCTTTTAAACTATTATTGATCTCCTATCCATTTAATGTATTCGTTCAATTGATCAATTCATGTTTCTATATGTTGTAAAATACAGGAAAAATACGTTTTATATGGAAGTATGAGTTTTTTGCGTTTTTAAACGGACCGACATTATTTTTTGTTTTAAACATGTGTTTCTGTTAGAAAAAATGGTACGTGTTTAAAACACATTTAAAATGCAAAAAACTAACTAGGACCCCGACAATCCCATATAACCAGAACCCTAGTGCACTCTACAAAACATTGTGTCAAGTTTTCCTTTGTGTTTAGAAATTAGTGCGCTTTTATAAGTTTATTTATGCGTATAACAGTATCACATGCCATGTTCTTAATAAAATGAGAGTAGAAAAGGAGAATAAAGAATCGTATTTTGTATTTTTGTTTACTGCAAGTCTGCAACCTGTTTTTCCAAAAATGTGATGAGTGAATTCCCTAAATAGGACTAAAAAGTGGAAAAATTGCACAAATAGGACTACATTTTTTAAATTCCCTTAATAGGACTATTTATGTGTGTTTGGACAAATATACCCTTGTAACTTGTGAAATGTTTTAATTAATAATAAAATCATAAAAAAATTAATAAAAATCGAAAAAAATACTAAAAATCGTAAAAAAATAATAGAAAATTAATAAAAATATTTTTTTAAAAAAATAAAAAAAAATATTTTTTTTAAAAAAAATAAAAAATAAATAAAAAAAATCATAAAATTAAAAAAAACACATTACCACCCCTGCCACCCCCAACACCACCATCTCCCATCACCGGACAAAAATATGCCAACATTTTAAATAATGCCATAATGATGGCATAATCAATGAAAATGTTGGCATATTGAAGAGTAATTATGCCATCTTTTTGGCATTTTCAGAAAAATATGGCATTTTTTTACCAAAAGTGGAAGAAATTTCACCAATCGAAGGTGGTGGTGCTGGGAGGCGGCGGGAGGCGGTGAGAAATGTATCCATAATTTTTTTCATTTTTTATGGGTTTTTACTATTTTTTATTATTTTTTTAAAAAAATTAAAAAAATAAAAAATTAAATTTTTTATTTTATAAATGTTTTATAATTTTTTTTTAAATTTTTTTACGTTTTTTAAATATTTGTTTACGTTTTTTGTGATTTTATTATGAATTAAAGCATTTCATTATGAATTAATACTCTTAGGGGTATTTAGGGTAGAAAATCAATGTTTAGTCCTATTTAGGGAATTTTAAAAATAGTAGTCCTATTTGTGCTTTTTAGGAATTTTTTAGTCCTATTTAGGACCATTTCCGAAATGTGATTTTTAGGCTATATGATAGATAAACTTATAGAGGAATGTTGATTGGCGGATATAAAAGAATAAGCTGGACTGGTAATTTCTGTGAATGTGAGGATAGTTTATGTCCCTTGGCTCGAGTTCTTTATTGTTATGCGCTTATGCCTTGTAAGTGGCTATAAACTCAACATAAAAAGGTCAAGTTGTTTTAAGTCGTTGTTACTATTTAACAAAGGTCTATAATGAACTTCAGATGTGAGTATACAATTAAAGTTAAATATTCTCATGGGGCAACACTTCGAGTAAATTGTTTTTTTTTTTGTTATTCAATCAACCTGGAGCAGTGGAGCTCGGATGTCTTTCATTCTGAATTATGTCAGCTGTAAGATTTAAGAACCACCAGTCTTACATTTCGCTGGAATAGTTTTGACTTGGTAGCCTGACAATTGTACACATTATTTTCTTGAAGATTGGTACTTCCAGAGAAGAAGCGTGTACCGGAAAAGGTTTGCTGGAGTCTTTGCTGTTAAGCACAATGAGCCGAGATGAAGTTCAATCAAAAGCGCTTGCTTTTCTAGAGGCAAATACGGATGTTGAGGTTTGCCAAATATTGCTAAAGAGGTGGAAAAGGTAGCCTGTGATATTAATTCATATTTGTCTGTTTCCCATCTATAGTTTGTTATTTGTGAAGTCCCTGAATGAAATTGTTTTTTCTATCCCTGTGCTAGATTGAATCCATCAACACACCATACGCTTGCATTGGCAGCTGAAGTCCGAACATTGCTGACAGATAAGGAACACTTATTAATCAACCTTCATAGAGCCGAAGAGGAGGTATGTAGTTGTATCAAAACTATATGATTTTCTAGCACCACTATATTGTAATGTTCATACTTCTGGGTGCGGTTTAGGTGAAACTTTTGGCTGAAGAAAATAATATGCTGGATGAAGAGAACAAGAGGCTAGTGCAACAGTATCAGAAGGAGAAGCGTAAATCTAGTTCTGATGGAAAGAACACAAGTAGTACTTCTGCGAAGGTCAGGTGTACAACAAAAAAAAAACTTCAAATTTTGAATCTGCATGGTATTATGTGCCTGTTATTCAGTACAATGGTATACGATACTAATTTATAAAATGGTTAGCAGGGAAACAAAAGAAAATCGTGTGCCAAGATCAGCAGTCCAGTTGACAGAAAGATTGACTTCAATAGTGTTGTTGACTCGTCTAGGCTGCCCTTATCACCTCTAAGAGAGAACTCGCCCGAGTGTAGAGCTTACAAGAAGTAGCAGAAATTTGGTGAATTTAAAAAACTCTAGCATTTCCCCAACTCTTTGTGTATCAAAAATTAGTGTTTTCTGCTCATCTTAAGTGTAAGTAATTCATGCTAGTTTTGACCGTCTATAGCAAGTTAGGTTCACTTCATTTACTTTTGTTTAGCCGAAGCGAATCAAACATGTTAGGGAAAACAGTCAAATAGGTCCTCGAACTTTCATAAAAAGATCAATTAAGTCCTTCTATAGGAGGTTCTGTCCGGCCGTCGCGATTTGGGGCAGTTCCCGGTGGAATTTTTTGATGAAATTTTTTGAGCATCTTACTCACCAAGTCTAGTTTACTCATACCAAATTTCAGCTAAAAATTCAATCGGGAACAAATTCAAATTAATTCTTGAAGATAACTGCGCATTTTTGCGTTCTCGAATTAATTGGAATGCGCTCCCGATTGAATTTTTAGCTGAAATTTGGTATGAGTAAACTAGACTTGATGAATAAGATGCTCAAAAAATTTCATCAAAAAATTCCATCGGGAACTGCCCCAAATCGCGACGACCGGACAGAGTCTCCTATAGAAGGACTTAATTGACTTTTTTATGAAAGTTCGAGGACCTATTTGACAGTTTTCCCAACATGTTATTTTATTTCCTTCTTTTCATTATCCTTATTTTTATCCAAAGGGAATTCCGTCCAAGAATAACAATTGTGCATGTATGCAACACAATTTTTTTAAAATGACTATAGGGTTGTTACCCTATGACTTCTTTCCAATGTGTATTTACAAGTGAATAAGAGAAAGAAGTTTTTTTTTTTGTTTTTTTTTTAATCGTAAAACAGACGGCTTTATATTTAAATCAAGAACGCATACAAGACAATCTTCAGACAAATTTTACAGATCCAATCGTGAACCCTAGGAGTAGACATAGAATCAGTCACCTCATAGAACGCAACCTCACTCGCTAAATCAGAAACGGGCAAATTTAAGCCTAAAACGAACAGATTTGAAACCCTGCCTATCAAAATAACTCCGAAAATCCAAACATTCAAACCAAATTCACTCTGACTAAAACTAAAACTAGCACTACTTCTAATAATGCTAGTTTTGTGTGTCTTCTTGAAACTAAAATGGCTTTTAATAATTTTAAAAATTTTGTCCCAATAAATGGCCGGGTTGGTCATTTGAGACAAATTTTGATTTTATTGGTGGTGGCCGTATGGCTGTTTTGTGGGATCCTAACCTCTTGCATTGCACTTTGCTTGAGGTGGATAGGCAACATATACATTTTAAATGTACTTGCCGTATATCTCATATTGTGTTTTATGTGACGTTTGTCTACCCCCTCTATACCATTTTAGAGCGCAAAAGCCTTTGGGACCACCTTGCTACTATAGGGGACCTAATTAGGGACCCTTGGTTTGTGGCGGGTGATTTCAATTGTGTTTGTGATCCCAGTGAGAGGGCTGGTTCCAACCCTCCCACTTCGTACTTTATGCGTCATTTGCTTGACTTTAAAATCCGTGCTAGCCTTAATGATGCCCATTCCACTGGTGAATTTTTTACCTGGAATAGAGGGGCTGTTTGGGCTAAGCTTGATAGGGTTTTAGTCAATGAGGTTTGGGATCAATTGGGAATTAATTGTAAGGCCCATTTCGAGGAAATGGAGGTAGAGTTTGATCACACGGCCACCGTGATATCTATACTAAACAATACCTCTTCTAGGCCGAGATCTTTTAAATTTTTTAATATGTGGATTCAACACCATGCGTTTGCTAATTTAGTTTTGCAGAATTGGAGTGTTAATATCCGTGGCACGGCTCAATATCAACTTGCTAGAAAGCTCAAGCTTCTTAAGCAGCCTCTTAAGAACTTAAATAAACTTGAGTTCGGCCATATTTCTGTCAAAGCTAAGGATGCCAAGGATGAATTCAAAAGGTTGAACAAGTTGCTGCTTTCCTTCCCTCATGATGATGGAATTAAAGAGCAAGTTAAAGAGGCTAGGAAAAAGGCTACCTTCCTGGGAGAGGCCGAATGCAAATTTTTCCAACAAAAAGCTAAAGCAACTCACATTCTAGAAGCCGACAAGGGGACGCGCTACTTCCATGCTATTGTCAAGAGGAATACTGCTAGGAATGCTATCACGTCTCTTACCTTGGAGGATGGCAGTTTTACTAATTCTATTGATCATGTTGGGAAAGAATTTGTAAAATATTTTATTGATTTGTTTGGTACTGAAATAGGTAGCCTTGCCATAGACCAAACGGTCCTAGGAACTGGCCCTATGATTGAACCAGGGGTTCATGACAGCCTTCTCTCTCCAGTAACTAACAAGGAAGAATTGGGGATGATAAGGCGCTGGGGCCGGATGGCTATTCCTCGGCTTTCTTTAAGAAGAATTGGAGTATTGTGGGGGAGGATGTGATCCGTGCGATCAAAGAGTTCTTCAACTCGGGAAAGTTGCTCAAACAGTTGAATCACACTGTTATAGCGCTCATTCCTAAAACTAATCACTCCCCGAGGGTCTCTGATTTTAGACCTATTTCCTGTACTAATGTGATTTATAAAATTATTACGACAATTATCGCGGCTAGAATGTCCCCCACTCTCTCGGGTTTGATTAACCAAGCACAAGGTGCTTTCGTGGATGGTCGCCTTATGTTTGATAACATCTTCCTTGCCCAGGAGCTTGTTAGAGGATACAATAGGAAACGCATCTCACCTCGTTGTATGATTATGGTGGATTTGCGTAAGGCCTATGACACGATTTCATGGGACTTCCTAGCCAGTGTCTTAAGGGGTTTGGGCTACCCCGATCGCTTTGTTGGGTGGATCATGGAGTGCGTTTCCACCGCCTCTTTTTCTGTTTCTTTGAATGGTGTTCTGCATGGTTTTTTTAAGGGTAAGAGAGGTATTAGGCAAGGGGATCCAATGTCCCCTTTACTCTTCGTAGTCTGCCTTGAATACTTCTCTCGGCTTATAACCATTAAAGCCAATACCCCAAATTTCAATTTCCATCCTCTTTGCGGTTCGTTGGGTTTAACCCACTTGGCTTACGCGGATGACCTAATGCTCTTCTCTAGAGGTGAAAAATACTCGATTGAGATATTAGTCAATGCTCTAAAAGAGTTTGGGGACGTTTCGGGCCTTAGGGTCAACCATTCTAAATACAATATCTTTGTAGGTGGGGTTCGTGACCTTGATCTGCAGAATATTCTTGATCTTGTGGATTATGGTCGTGGAGAGTTTCTGGTGAGATACCTGGGCATTCCGCTTGCTCCCCTCAAAATCTCGGTGGCCCAATATGCCCCTCTGTTAGAGACGGTGACTGATTTTCTTAATAACTGGAATACCAAGACCATTTCGTATGCGGGAAAGCTCGAGCTTATTCTGTGACACCGCTCCCGAGCGTCCTTGAAAATTTGATTTAAAATTCAAAGTTTATGTATTGGATTTCTGGTTCCCAAACATTTGTAAAACGATTAATGTTTTACGTAATTAATGATCGATTAGTGTACTGTTCGAACTCGTATATTAGTGTCGAGCATGCAAATACCACTTGGGTCTTATTAATAAATAAAAGAGCCCAACATTTTCCAAATAGTGATACATAATCTTGCAAGACAATCCGAGTAAGGTCGGACGGCCCAAACGTTATTTTGAGCCCAACCTGCTAAAATAGCAAGTATTCGAGAATGGCGTTCTAGACCCACTCGGGAGTGACCCACACGGCTAGTAGCCCAATAATATGTATGACAAATGTCAAATAAGTGATAGGATGATTAAAGAAGAATACAAATGCCTATAACCCCACCTTTGGCCTTATTGAGCTAAATAATGGGAGTAGGATTTTCCTTCTATAATATCTATCAAGTAAATTATTGGGATGAGCCTACACATATTGGAGATCAATAATGTGATTTGAGAAGTTGACTTGTTCTAAATAAATTAGGATGAGTACAAAAAGACATCTTTTGACAAAGATAAAACAATAGGACTCATTTTCCCCATTTTTGGAAGTATTGGTAGATAATTTGGATCCCAAAATGATTGGGATCAATTGGGAACCACTCCACATGATATTAGTACCTGCAAGACAAATAAAAATGGGTTAGGAGACTTACCTTGGCCGGCCATTATGGAGAAGAGCTGCACATGACTTGATAAGAATCAAAGTTTGGGGCCACCACTCTTATTTTCGCACAAATTGGTGTGCTGTTTGTCTCCTCTCATTATAGGAGCTATCCTCAACCAAATAACGTGTATGAGGTGTCCTTGGATAGCTTTTGAAGTCTATTTTTATAATTGAGTGGTCTCAGTTCGAGAGGAGAGAGTAATCATCCAAAAATCGATCTGGAACGAGCAGTGGTCTGTGAACTCGAGCTGTGAGAGTGCTGAGACTGTTTGGTTGATATCTCGAGTTTTACCAGTCCAATTAAGGCGTGTGAGATACCAAAAGAAAGCTCTCAAGACGAGGAATCCGTGAAGGTCTGGTTTGCATCAATCGGAGTAGAGGAAGGCTTCCAAATCGCCCGAGCAGAACGCGACCTCGCAGGAACGGATTTACTCTTCTAAGTGAGTTGTTAATCCCAAATCCTTTCCATTCATTTTCCAAATGATATGAACGATTGGTGGGACTATTGTACACTAATCCAAGTGTATAATATGTCCTTGTAAAGTTATTTTTATTGATGTAAAGGTTAGATACTAACCTAGAGCAAATATTGGAAAACTAGGAATCGAGTTAGCCGGAAAACACCCGTTCTAGGGGCTGTTTTCGTATCAACGGTTAGGGGTTGAATTAGCAACTTGAGGAAGCTGTTTAACACCCATTTTCAAGCAAGGAACCAGTTCTCAATCTTCCTTGGCCGAGGCTTTGGTCATTGGATCGAGAAGGAAAGTTTTAAAGCTCATTTGAGGTGAGGATCGACATCTAGTTGCTTACAACTTGTAGGTTAAGCATGAGATTACCTAAATGCCTAAATCATGTTTTCCATGGATTATGATGATAAATTATTGATGAAATATTGATCTATTTTCCAAAGAATGAAATGGGAAGTGATTTGGTAAAGTATTGATGAAAATAGAGTTAAATGAACTATTGTGTGAAATAGGCATTTACTCATATGTGAATTGTGTAGATACATAAATGGTTATTTATGTATTACATTGAATGATTAAGTTGCTGCTACATATCTCTAAATATGTAGGGTTTTACAAATGGAATATATGATGGATAAGAATAATCTTAATAGTATTGAAATACTAGTTAATGATTGTTGTAATTGTTAAGAGAGTTGAATCTAAGGATTTGATTATAATTGATGTTCTTGATTGTGATGCAAGTGACAAATTTGATGTAATGTGATGCTAAGACCATGGTTGGGCAGTCCGTAGGGATGTCCCAAAATAGATTATTGATATTACAATTCTAGGCATAGTGAGTGCTTAGGAATTGGGGTCTATGCCAATGTAAGGAGATGTACTTGAGTCCGTGCTCATAGAATTGCATTGGGTAGACATGATGAGGTGATTGTTGTGCATGGTGATGTAGTTGAGTTGGACTCAAGAAATGCACGGTGGAGTAGTTAACTTGTGTTAAATAAGATGCATGGTGATGTAGTCGAGTTGGACTCGAGAATGCAAATATATGTGTTAGGGTTGAACCCTATGTATTGTTGTGACTAGGGGTCACGGGGTTTTGGGCTATGTTTAATAAACAAACCTTGGGCCTACGGGCCGACTACTTGACTTTATATATAAAGTAAGTA